GCGGGTGCTGGCCGTGTACAAGCAGCGGGCGCGGCCTGTGCAACGGGGCGGCCAGGACGTCTGGGTGCCCGGCGCCGACCTGGCCTGCGGCTGCCTGCGCCTACAACCCGGCACCGACTACCTGCTGCTGGGCAGCGCGGCTGGAAACCCGGACCCCGAGCGCCTCGTCCTAGATCGCTACGGCCTCGCACTGCCCTGGAGGCCGCGCTGGGCCCGGCCGCTGAGGCGGCGACAGCAGGAGGAGCGTGCAGGGGGCTGCCGCGGCCTGGAAACTCCCTCACCCAACCCTAGGCCTTAACACTAACCAGGGCGCGCGAGGCGTCGACGCCCAGCAATGCGGAACCTGCCACGCAGCCTTCCTCAGCCGCGCGCGTCCTGAGAGAACCAATCAGAAGCCACGGAGCGCCTTACGTCACCGGCACGCGCCAGCAACGCGCAGGCGCAGGAGATTTTTCACCAGAAGGCGCCTGAGCCGGATTTTGGTCCCGTGGCCCTTCGTTTGACTTGTGACACACGCAGTTAATTACCCACAATAAAGTCTCAAATCTTGAGGAATTTCGTCCTCAGAGCCCAGATCTGTACTGGGAGAGTTTCTAGGGGCAAATGAAGACGGTCTTGAGGAATCTGCCCAGCTGAAGTTTTCCCCGGGCTCCCTGAGACAAAGTGGCCAATCCCCTGAAAGAACTCCTGTGGCATCACCGGGTGCTTAAGGACAGGCCCAAAGAGGGGCGTGTCTGGAAAAGGCGGGAAATTTAACTTCCTTAAAAGGGACCATGGTTCCCAATTTCCAGAAAGTTCCAGATTTAGTAATTTTTCATTTCTGAGGGACCTCTGGATAGTCTCTGAGGAAGGAATAAGGGGACTTTGAGTGAATGTCTGAAGAAGGTTCTGATGGGTTCACCTGGGCTTCAAGTGCAGCCTGGACCTTTCCTGAGAGCTGCAGAGTAGTAGGACATCACTCGGTGCCAAGCAGAATTCTATCCCTGCCCAACAGTGGGGCACCTACAGGCCACAGGGGTGGGGCCAGAAAGGCAGGAAGCAAAGTACTAAGGGATGGAAGGTTGTCATGGCCTAGCCCCTTCCCTGACACTCAGACCTCTGTCCCTGCACCCACAAGCAGGCTCTTCAAATTTGAGTGACCTTTTCTACAGAGTCACTGAGGAGGTACTTGGAGGGAGTCTTAGGGATTTGAACCTGGAAAATAACATTTTTCATCCATGAGACAAAAATGAGGCTCTCAGCAAATGGGAAGTAGGACAGGTCATGTCACACGGTGCTAGGCTGCTAGTCCTCCAGGGAACCTGGGTTTGCTCCTGGTGATGCTAGAAGAAATAGCCTCCAGGGGCTAACTATTTGAGTTCCAAGCCACCAAAGAAAATCCCCTTTGGGGGGACCTCACCTTTGGCTTCCAGTTAGACCCAGGATGGGGGTATCTCTGAAGCTGAAGTCTTAGGGAGATATTATAAGAAAAGTTTCAGGAAAACTGTATAAATCCCTTCTGTTTGCCCTTTTCATTGTCTTTAGAAGCCAATTCAATTGGGAATTCACCCACCATTCCATGGTCAGTTCCAAACCCACCAGCAAGTCCCATCCGCTCCTTCAAGATCCATGTCCAGAATTCAACCATTTTTACCACCTCCATTGCTACCACCTTGGTTCAAGCCAACATCACTGCTCCCTCACAGCTACCCCTTAGAGTCTTCTTCATGCAGAAGCAGGATGACCACTTTAAAATTCGAATCCAGAAGAATCTCTCTGCATAGCAGTCGGATCGTATCACTCGTATGCCCAACAATCAAATCCAAAGTCCTTGCCTGCCTTATAAGGCCCTATACGATCTACCCCTGCCATGTCACTGACTTCACCTCCTCCAACTCTTCCTCATTCAGGCCACTGCAGCCACACTGTCCCCCTTCCTGTTCCTGTAGAAACCAAACACACTCTGCCCTGGGGCCTGTGCACTTTTCTCTCTTCCTGAGACACACTTCCTCAGTAACAGCAAGCTGCTTCCACAGTCTTCCATTAATCAGGTTACCTGACGGCTTCGCATAATGAAAGTTTATTTCTTGCTCATGTACATGTCCAATGTCGGTTGGCAAGGAGTGGTTTTTCAGTCACTCAGGGACCCAGATGAGAGTCATGCACCATGGTGTGTCATCAGTTGCATCCTGTGGTACCCCCACCCCCACATCATGTGGCAACCAGAGGAAGCACTGAATTGTCCCACAGGAGCACTAAGTGCTTTGGCCTGGGAACATTTTCCACTCTTCCACTCACAGCCCAGCGATCAAGATTACTTGCGTGGGGGCTGGGGATGTGGCTCAAGCAGTAGCGCGCTCACCTGGCATGCATGCGGCCCGGGTTCGATCCTCAGCACCACATACCAACAAAGATGTTGTGTCCGCCGAAAAATAAATAATAATAAAAAATTCTCTCTTCTCTCTCTCTCTCTCTCTCTTAAAAAAAAAATTACTTGTGTGGGTCCCTCAATTGCCTGAAGGTGGGAAGTGAACTTCTCTTATGTGCCCAGAAAGGGACAAGTGGTGGGCTTATTTTTTATTGCTGTCATACAAATTACAAATTGAACAGCTGAAACAACACAAATTTCTTCATCTAACAGTCCTACAAATTTGAAGTCCCACGCGGTTTCACTGGGCTGAAATCAAGGCATTTTCAAGGCTGCATTCTGTAGTCAACAAATATATGAAAAAATGTTCAACATCACTAGCAATTAGAGAAATGAAAATTAAAACTACACTGAGATTCCATCTCACTCCAGTCAGAGTGACAATTATCAAGAATACAAGTAACAAAGCTGGGGATTTAACTCAGTTGGTAGAGTACTTGCCTCGCATGCACAAGGCCCTGGGTTCAATCCCCTGCCCCCCCCAAAGAAAAAAATACAAGTAACGATAAATGTTGGCAAGGATGTGGGGGGAAGGTGCCTTCATACATTGCTGGTGGGGTTGCAAATTGATGCAATCACTCTATAAAGCAGTTTGGAGACTCCTTAGAAAACTTGAAATAGAACCACTATATAACCCAGTTTCCCACTCCCTGGTATACCCAAAGGACTTAAAATTCCGAGTACTATAGTGATGTGGCCACATCGATAGTCATAGCAGCTCAATGCACAATAGATAGGCTATGGAACAAATCTAGGTGCCCTTCAACAGATGAATGTATAAAGAAAATGTAGTATATATACACAATGGAATATTACTCAGCCATACAAGAAAAATGAAATTATGGCATTTGTCAGTAAATGGATGGAACTGGAAACTATCGTGTTAGTGAAACAGGCAATCCCCAGAAAGCCAAAGGCTAGGTGTTCTCTCTGATATGTGGATGCTGACTCAGTAGAAGGGAGGAGTGGAGGTTCACTAGACTGAATGTGGGGGGGGAATGGGAAAAACTGCAGAATGAACTGGACATCACTTTCCTATGTTCATATATGAATTCACGACCAGGGTAACTCCACATCATGTACAACCACAAGAATGGGAAGTTATACTCCACATATTCATGATACGTCAAAATATACCTTACTGTCATGTATAACTAAAACAATAAATTAAGAAATGCTTAAGAAAACCCCCCCCAAACCCTGCATTCTGGATCTTCTGGTGGGAATCTGCTGCCTTTCCATTCCCAGCTTCTACAGCCACCCACATTCCTTGGCTGGTGGCCCCTTCCTCCATCTTCAAAGCCAGCGTGAAGAGTTGAGTTCTTTTCACACTTCAAATTTCTTCTACCTCTTCTTCCTGTCTCATGTCTTTTTTTTTTAATTCTATTTTTTTTTTAAGTTTTCGGCGGACACAACATCTTTGTTGGTATGTGGTGCTGAGGATCGAACCCGGGCCGCACGCATGCCAGGCGAGCGCACTACCGCCTGAGCCACATCCCCAGCCCCTCATGTCATTTTTTTTTTTTTTACCACAAGTAGGAAAGATTCTCTGCTTTTAAGGACCCAAGTAGTTAGAAAAGACACATCCAGATAATCCAGAATAATCTCTCCCATCTCAAGTGTCTTAACTTTAATCACATCTGCAAAGCACCTTCTGCCAGGTAAGCTGAAATATATTTATCTGTTTACTGTTTGTGTTGTCATTGTTCCACTGTAACATGGGCACATGCTTTTGTGTAAACATGCAGAGCCCCACCTTCCCCCGGGAAAGGAGAGGACCCCCAGATGGAGAGGATTTTGCTGGGCTCCCAGAGGCAGTGGGAGGTGAGGGCAGGGAGAGAGGGCTGAGGAGGTCCAGAGGGGCTGTGGGAACCACCAGGCCTGGAGAGTCCTGGCCCTGCCACCTCCCACCCAGGAGCCCAGGAGGTAGGGGATGAAAGTGTAGAGCAGGCCGAGCCCCATATGTTCCTTATGACCCAAACTTTGTTCCCAGCGCCCGAGACGAATAGGCGTGAAATGCACATCTGGGACCACCTCCGGCCTGGCCGTTCCTCCCGCTCTGGGCACTGAGCCCGGATTGTCTATTCACTGTAATGGAGGTAACACAGGTGGCTTCCAGAGCGTGGAGGAGGCCCCTGGCCATCTCATGGCATTGCCAGATGGCCTCCTGGGGAGGGACTCCTGAAGGGTAGAGAAGTTTGCCCTGCAGAGAAGTGGGGTCAGAGACCCCGACAGAGGAAACAGTTTGTGAAAAGGTCCAGCGGCCAGAGGGCCTGGCATGGTAAAAGAGAGACGGGGCTGGGGCGTGGGGGTGGCCAGGACATGCAGGGTCTCTAAGACCAGGAGGAAAGCCTGGACTTTTTCTCCTGGGGAAGGATTTGATCAGGAAAAACTGAGGGGTGGGGGCTTTGTCCGAGGGTGATGGGGAGCCACCATAGAGGCAGAGTCAAGTCTGGGTGTAAAAGACCCTCTGGGATATGTGGGAGTGGGCTGGAGGGGGAGAGCTTAGAGGGAGCCTGGGGGTGGGAGGCAATGAGTTCTGAGCCACCACGAGTTCTGAGCCCTGGCTGGGATTATGGGGACAGGAAGAGTCAGCAGGAGTGATGAGTTGAATACAGCCCCAGTTGATCATGGGACAGAAAGATATTCTCAGAGAGTTGTGAGAAGGAAAAAGAGAAGTTAACTGTCACCAACACACCAGGAAGCTTTTCTCTTAACCCCTGCAGAAAAGTCCTTTCTTTGCCTCACTGTGAAGGCCACACCCCTCCCTGATTTGATCCTCTCACTTCTTCATTAGCTCAACAGAGTCCCCCCACTCCCACCAAGTGGGGCTCACACAAGCTAAACACAGGCTCCACCGCTGAACTGCACCCCCAGCTCCCTCAAAATGTTCTTTTAAAGTCTCCCGGGAAATACTGGCACTGAGACTAGCCGGAGTACAGGTAGGGAGAGCCCTGGGGACATTGTACATGGTGTGGTGTGTGATCCCAGAGGCAACAGCACTAGGCACCACAGGAGCCTGCAGAAGAGGCCCCTGGGAGGTCAGACAGGAGGTCCTCTGGGAGCACTACAGGAAATCCAGGTGTCTCTCCGGCAGCCAGAAGGGCAGAATCCCTGGGGAGAGACATCACTGAGCGCGATTTCATTCCATCAGGCCTGACTTGTGTCCTGAGGACCCTGTCCACAGGCCCTGTGTGCGGTCATGCTGAGGACCAGAGGTGGGTCAGGCCTGGGTTCTGAAGGAAGGACACACAGGGACACAGGCCCTGTCTAGTGACATCTGGGCTTTCATGGAGACAGCACAAGACATTGTGAACCTCCTCAGGGCTCAGGGAGGGCTTCCTGGAGGAGGAGAGCTGAGCAATCCAGGGAGAGCCCGCTCTCCCCATAACATCTGTCTGTCTGTCCCTCCCTCTGCGTACCTCTCTTCCTTCATTGTCTCAGCCTCTGACCAGTTCCGCTCTTTCCCCACCCCCAGGTGTGGGGAGCCACTCTGAAGGATTCCTGCCTTCCATCCTGGAGCAGAGAGGCTTTGATTGGTCACTACATCTCTTAGTGACCTGGACATTGCCCTGTCCAGGAAGTTGAGGGCATGTCGCCCCATGGTCCCTTGGGTCGATTTACACTCACCTGTCCTTTGTAACCCTGCCCCTCTAGCCTTTTTTGGATGGAACTTTCTAAGAATAAGGTTCCCCCCCAATAATAGCCCACTTCCAAATTCTCTCTCTCTCTCTCTCTCTCTCTCCAGCCTCTCGTGACTTTCTCCTGCTCTCCCATTTGGGGAGCCTGAGGCTGAGAGCGGAGAAGATGTCCTGAAGCTTATTTAAAGGTAAAGTGTGTGTCTGTGTTTTATTTGGTGTCCCTGGAAATTCACACGAGTGACCTGAAGTTCAGCTGCCCACACGGGCCGGGGGCAGCAACCAGGGTTTGGCTGCTGTAAAAAAACCACTAAATCACTAGGCGTGGTGGTGCACACCTGTAATCCCAGTGGCTTGGGAGGCTGAGGCAGGAGGATCACAGGCTCAAAGCCAGCCTCAGCAACTTACTGAAGCCCTAAGTCTCAAAATAAAAAGGGCTGGAGATGCGGCTCAGTGGTTCAATCCCTGCTAAAAAAAAAAAAAAAAAAAAATCACTCACTGTGCATCTTAAAACAATGGAAATGTATTGTCTCACAGTTCTGGAGGTTAGAAGTCCAAAGTCAAGTGTTGGCAGAGCCGTATTCCTTCCAAAGGCTCTAGGGGAGGATCACTCCTTGGCTCTTTCAGCTCTGGTGGCTCCCAGCGTTCCCTGGTGACACTTTGCTCCAACCCCCGCCTGTCCTCACTAGCCTTCTCTGTCTGCAGTCTCCCTGTCTTTCCCTTTAAGAGCAGTTGTCATTGGACTTAGGATCCACACAGGTAATGCAGGGTGATCTCATCTCAAGACCCTTTTGCCAAAAAATGTCCCATTCGCAGGTCCAGGGTGGGCGTGTCTTGTTTCGGCAGGGAAGCAGGCCACCACTTCGACCCACAACGTCCCGGGTGCGTCATTTTCCTCTGGGAACCTCAGTTTTCTCTCTCTCCAGCGGGGCCAACACTCACTACCACACCACGGAGCAGCTTTCAGGGCTGAAGGAAGCCTAGGAGTGTGAGGCTGCCCCAGGACTAGGAAACTCCATCTGCGGGATACTTTTTACTGGATACTTTTCCATCACAGCTGGGTCTTTCTAATTTTTTTTTTTTTTTTAATTTTTGAAGTACTGGGGATTGAACCCAGAAGTGCTGTCCCACTGAGCTACATTCCCAGCCCCTTTTTTTTAAATCTTATTTTGAGACAGGATCTCTCTAAGTTGCCCAAGCTGGCCTCAAATTTGCCATCCTCCTGCCTCAGCCTTCTAAGTCATGACTATAGGCAGGTGTCACAGAGCCCAGCACAGATGGGCCTTCCTGCCCATCTTTTCCCATCGGTTTCCCCATGTCCGTTGGGCGGGGAGTACCGAGGATTGAACTCAGGGGCACTGAACCACTGAACCACATCCCCAGCCCTATTGTGTTTTTTATTTAGAGACAGGGTCTGACTGAGTGGCTCAGCACCTCTGGTCCAATATTCTTTTCTTTTCTTTTGTGGTGCTGGGGATTGAACCCAGGGCCTTGTGCATGCAAGGCAGGCACTCTACTAACTGAGCTATATTCCCAGCCCCTGGCCCAACATTCTTGACTATGTAGCCCTGTATATCCTGAGACTTGGTTTGCTCATCTGTAAAATGGGACAGTAACAGGCTTTCCCTCTTGGATGGCTGTGAGGATTACATGGGTAAGTGCACGGGAAGTACGTGAGACCTGGGCTGGGGTGGACTGGGTGCTTCCCTATGTAAAGGTAAAATTTCTAAGCTGCAAAAGCTTGAGTTAAAGTGTAAGAGACTAGGGCATTGTAAAGCTTCTAGATTACAAGGCCTGGGCTAAAAAGTAAAAGACAATTGTTACAATTGTAAAAGTGTATTGTTACAATTCCTCTACTATCCCCGGAACCTGTAATCTCTGTAAAGTTGTTAGGAGAATGCGGGAACTGCCTAGTAAATATCTCCATTGATTCCCTGGTTGTTTAATAGCTAAGGGCTCTAGGTAGCATGGCACGTAAGCATGTAGGCCCCAGAACCAATCAGTTTAAATGTGTACCCCACTTAGAAGTGACCAATCACCCCTGCCCAAATTGTTCCCGCCAATGAATGTGCTAATCATGTCTCAGAATTGTTGTTCAATTTCCCCGCGCCTCATGATGATTTGTTCTGATGTATGCAAAGCCCACCGCTCTCTCCAAAAAGTGTACTTAAGCTCCGCCTGACCTCTGCTCTGGGCTCTGGGCTGCTCTCCCTTCTTGAGTGTGCACAGAGCCCCAGTGCGCTGGAACGGATCCCCCAATAAATTTCCCCCCTGCAATTGCATGAAGTAAGTCTCTTGTGTGGTCTCTCCCTCCGACACTCCACTGCACCCCAACACCTATGGAAGGTTTTATCACAGTTACTGCTGAGTATTCATGGCTTCTCCTCTTTCCCTGTCTCTGGCTCCCTCTGTCTCTCTGTTTTCCTGAGTGCCCCACTCCAAGTCCTAAGGAGTGTCTTTCAGTCTGTCTGCTGCTCTCTCCACCTGAAGTTGATTCTAAAATAAGTCCAACACATTCTCTTTTTGTACCAGGGATTGAACCCAGAGGCATTTAAGCACTGAGCCACATCCCCAGCCCCTTCTTATTTGGAGACAGGGTCTTGCTAAGTTGCTTAGGGTCTCGCTCAATTGCTGAGGCTGGCTTTGAACTTGCAATCCTTCTGCATCAGCTTCCCAAGCAGCTGGGATTACAGGGCCATGCACACTCTCAAATACTCCTCCCTTCACAGTGGGCGAGGGGGAGCCTCATTTCCTTCCCCTCCACCATGGCTAGACTAAGTGACTCATTTCCCGTGAATTGAATAAAAGGAATGTGACTTCAGGAGACCAGGTCATAAAGGCCTCAGATGACTGCAGTCATGGCCAACAGCTTACCTGAACCCTCCTGAGAGAACAAGAGCCCCTTGTCAGCCATTCCCCGATGTCTAGCCCTTCAATTTGAGAAAATAAATGTCTGTCATTTTAAGTCACTACATGTTTGGATCATTTGTTATGCAGCAATGGATAACTAATACATATTTTCTTTCTTGGATGCTTTCTTTGTGTCAATCTCCATGTATGACATCTCTGTGACTCTTTCCATCTTTAGTTTCCAATTTGCTATGTCTGAGTGCCTCTGTCTCTGGTTCCTTCCCAGTGTCTCTCTTTAAATTGGTTGGTCTGTCTCAGGGCCTCTCTCCCTCTATCTGGGTCTCTATCTCTGTCTTGGTGTCGCTCTGTGTCTCTCTTTTTCTGCATGATCAGCTCTATTTATAGCTAAGTGTGTGTGTGTCTGACTCCAGGTTTCCTACCGTGTGTGTGTGTGTGTGTGTGTGTGTGTGTGTGTGTTCCTCTCCCCGCCTGGATTGCTGTGTCTCTTTTTAATGTTTGGTGTCCCTCTCTGCTTCTATCCTGAAGTATCTGAGTCTGTTTCATCTTTCTCTGCCTCTGCACCTGTCTCTCTCCCTCCCTTCTCTAACCCGATGTATGTCTCTCTCTGTCTCTGGGTCTTTCTGCTTCTACCTTTGATTCTCCTGCCGGTCTCTGTATCTCTACCAGTATCTACCTCTGTCATGTCCTCTGTGTGCGCTCGCCTGTCTTTCTCTCCTTCTCCCTCCCTCCCTCCCTCCGGCCTGGCATCTTGCTCTCGCTTCTCGAACCGGCTTCTCCCTCCGCCACGTCCCTCCCTGCCCCAGCCTCCACACTGGCCGCTCTTCACCTCAAGCTCTCGCCTCTGCCCTCCCGGCTCCACCTCCCCCGCCTCTGTCCCTCGCCAGGTCTCTGCCTCCCTCTCCCGGCCAGCGGCCCTCACCGCACCGAGTATCCCAGGGGATCCCCGGCGGTTAAGGCAGCCCCAGGCGTAGGACCGAGGCCGAGCGGGGGACGTGGGCGCCGGGGCGTCCGGCCTGGGTCCCCGCGATCTGCGGGACCCCGCTCCTCCGCCGCCCGCGCGCTGAGCGCGGAGACTCCAGGCTCCACCTTAAGCGCCTCCCTCCCTTTCTGCAGAGGACCCAACGGCCAGCTCCCGGCCCCAGGTGTCCGGGCC